AACTCTGTCTATACTCTAATAAAAAGTTCCCCAGGCCAAAGAGGTCACCTTAATACCAAAAAAAAAAAAAAAAAAAATAGTTTTTGTATTTTTTTTTAAAGAATATATATATTTTTTTAAAAATAGTAGAATATATAAAGCTAAGTAAATTGCTAATTCTCTTGTTAGTAAATAATAAACTCTAAACTTGTTAGCAAGTAGCATATAAGAACTACTTCTAAATAACAAATACTATTTTTATAGTAAGTAATAAGTTTTAAACCTATTAACAGATAGTATATAATAACTATTTCTAAATAATAAATACTAGTTTATAGTTTTTATTAGTCTTATGCTTCTCTTTTCTATATATAGTTTACTGTTTTTAAAAAAATAGTTTGTTGTATTTTTTTTGATATAAAAGATTATCAAAAAAAGTTAATAACTAGTTTTTTTTAGTAAACTGTTATTAAAAAAATTAATAATATTATAATTACTATAATTATATTTTTATATACTATATATAATTAATTAATTTTATATAATATTTTTTGAGAATTGTTAATACCACCTTTTATTTTTGTTAATGCCACCTTCTAAATATCAAAAAGTGCTTCAGAAGAGGTATTTCTATTAAGTAAATCTTTATTTTAATCTTAATAAAAGTTGTTTATCAGGTCTTTCCGGTTCTAATAGTAGTAAAATTATTAAAATTAGATTAGTAGTTCTTAAGATATTTATATTTAAAGTTAGTTAACTTTTATTTACTTTAAAAATAAAACTATTGGCCCAATTTTAATGATTTTACTATTATTAAAACTGAAAAGACCAGATAAACAACTTTTAAGTGGCATACACAATTTACGTTAAACTATTATTGTATTGTATATTGTATTATATAAAAATAGGGAATGCCATATAGTATTATGTTTGTATTATCTTTAAGATCCCTATGACAATACTGGCTTAACGTAAATTGTGTATGCCGCCTTATTAAAATCAAAATAAGGATTTACTTAATAGAAATATCTCTTCCAAAGCACTTTTTGATATTTGAAGAATAGTATTAACAAAAATAGGGATAGCATTAACAATTCTCTATTTTTTATTAAACAAATTAAATACTATAAATTATAAATAATCTTAATATATACAACTTTTCCCATAGATCACTATGACCAAATTCTGGAAAAAGAAAATTAAAGAAAACCAACTAAATGACTAAGCTGACAAGAAGTTTGCATCTAACTAAAGTTGTAATACAAAGAAGACACAACAGTTTTTATTAGAATAATTTTTAATAATCTATAGCAAGTAGCATAGATTATCTTTGAAATAGCCTTTTGGACAAAAAATTTTCATTTCTGTAGAAAAAGTGGGAAACAGGCTGACCCCAGTCTGCAGATCCTTGTACATCACACAAAGTAAACAAACATGTCAACACAGTACCAAACAAATAGTAACTAAAACAGTATATATATAACTAGTATCTGAAGCAAGATATTATCTAGAACCAAATAGGCATAATACAGGATGATAAACTAACCGTGATAGCAGAGTTAAACTGGTTTAGCAAATTAGAAGAGTACAAAGATTTTTTTACAAAATCACCTGAAAAGTGAAATGTAGCAAGACAAGAATATACATATTTAGTGCTACAGAAAGATAGAGAAATAGCAGCATTAACCAGAGCTGCACCTAAAACAATAAGTATATTTAGAAGAATAATAAAGCTATATGACTATAGCAAGTATCTGAAGAGTAAAGACAGAGAGGTAGAGTTAACCAAAAGTGCAGTAAAGTCAAGTCTCGATGAACAGATTAAAGAAAAGCTAATAGAGTATGAGAGTAGGGTAGTTGATTATGGTATAGAAGAAGTTAATAGTAAAGAGTCACTATATACACCAATGACTAGAGGAAGTAATGCAGGGTTAGATTTGAGTATAGAAGACAAAAAGAAGCCCTCTAGCCAAGAATTAAAAAATGATATGACAGAAGAGCTGATACAAGAGTTAGAAAATATATCAATTGTTGTACCTGTGTTAATAAGTACTGAAATTGTAAAAAATACACAAAGGCTTAGTAAAGATGATAAACAGAAAGAAATACCAGTAAGGGCAGATACAAATGAAGCCAACCAGGCTGAGCTATTTATACTATGGAATATACCATTGTATGTGCAGTTGCAAGCAATAAGGAAATGCTTATACTTCTATAGCAAAATAAACATTTTAAAATAAAAGCCACAAGGGAAGAACAAGACAGTTTCTTTTATGATTAAATATTACAATGCAATATACAAGTTGGCCTTCCAAGCTATATGAGCAGTACATTTTGTAAAAGAGAAAATGTTAAGAGTAACACCTAGTACTTTTACCAAAGAAATATTAAAAAGTAGAACAAGATTCAAAAAGAAAGTTAAAAATATCCCAACATCAGCAATAGAAGTACTATTATTAAAATAGCTGAAAGAAGTAGATACAAAAGCAGTTTATATTTTATATAATAATAACCAAAATCAAAGATATATAGTATCGGTATACTTTGAATCAAGAGAAGAGCTGGAGTTAGCTCAAGAAAGAGATATCTTTTACTATAACACAAAGCTTAAATGGCTAGATAAAAGTGATAAAAAGTGGAAGAGGCCTGGGGAGAGAAGAGACCAAGACCTGTTGAAAGAGAAACGTCCTCTAGATGAAAGAGAAAACTTTAAAAAGCACATTCTTGGCTCAAACAAACTTGATAAGAGAGAAATAAATAAAGTAGTTAAAGATCACAAATGGAAGCTCAAAATTGAAACTCAGTTCGAATTCAAAGAAGAAAGAAGAGCAAACAAGAAGAACCTAAAAAAGACAAGTAATAAAGAGTCATTAAGCAATACAAGAGAGATCACAAAAAATGCGAGGAGCTCTAGTGATCAAGTAGTCATTGAAAAACTTGGTAGTATATTAGAAGAAATTATGAAGAGACTTGCTAAGATTGAGGAAAGACAACAGGGGGTTAACACCTCCAACTGCTTTTGAAAGTTATCACAGGCATTGTAAAAGAGAAAAGAGGCTACTCAACATCAAGTTGTACAAGAAGAATCTAGCCTCAAAATAACAAAGCTAATTCAAAGTCAAGCCTTATAATACAGAAAAGGAATATTAGGTTAAATATAGTATGTCATAACATCAACAAGATTAAGGGGAATAAGACAAAGCTTAAAATGATAAATAAGTAGATATTAAAGAATAAAATTAATATACTAGGGCTGGTTAAAACAAATACAAATAAGAAAGAATTAAGATTTAGCGAGTTGAGTAATAGCAAAAAAGGTTTTTGGATACAAAGTATGATCACAAAAAAAGAAAGGTTCAGGGGTTGGGCTGATTGTAGATGCAAAGTAAAAAAGTATCTTGGACAAGTTGCAAGAGTAGAAGAATATATAATAGAAGCTAGATTCTATTTTAGACAAACTGAAATTATAGTAATAGTAGTATATTTTCCGCCAAGTAATAGGGAGTTAGAGAAGGTACTCCAGAAAACAATTGTTACCAAGTATATAGAGAGATCTAGCAAAGTACACTTTATAGTAATAGGTGATTTCAATAGAATAATGGATCCATTGCTAGACAAGAGTGGGAGCAATAGACACACAGCATACAAGTTATTGCCACTCCACAAATGGTTTAGAAATCAAGGTTTTACAGATATATTTAGAGCACTAAACCTATGTGCAAGAATGTATACACGGTCTGGCCAAGGTATCGAATCTTGAATAGACCAGATTTGGGTATCAGAAGATCTAGTTTATAGTACAACAAAAGCAGAGATCATAGAGGTGAAGATTATAACAGCAAGTAATCACAGTATCATTACAGCTGATATCATATTAAAGCATCTTATAAAGATAAAAAAGTTGGCCAAAACAAGGAAAACCAAAATAGCCAGAATGGTTTTCTTCTATGACAAAGTGACTAAAGAGAACTAGAATAATTATAAAAAACAGGTTAATAGTCTACTTCTAAACAGCAATGTAGTCAAGTATCCGAGATTTAAGAGCCCTAAACAATACATAAATGAGTTGTGGGATGCAATCACAAATGCAATTAAGAGAGTGGCAAACAAGACAATTCTAAAGAAGCAAGTACACAACTCTGGTCCCAAGACCAGATACAGAAGAAAAGGGACAAAAATACATAATGACACTATGAAGCTAAGCAAAGTAATCCAGGTATTTAAAAAGAAAAGTAGTATATATGAGATTGATGAAGTAAAGATAAATATAGTAGAACATATTAACAACACATATATGATATCGTTAGATAAATTAAATAGCAATAGCATATCATTGCAAGTATAGTTAATAGTAGCAAAGCAGAGTTGGAAAGCAATGCATGCACTTGAGAGAGCAGCAGAGGACAGTAGTACTCATACTAAAATTAAAAAAGCATTAATCAAAAGGTTTGAAAAAATAGATGGTGATATCAGGAGAATATTAGCAAGTATATTAGAAAAATCCTACAAAAAGATTAACATTGACAAAGTTCTTAAGCAAACTAGTGATAAAAGAACATTATACAATGAGCCTGACGAAGTGTTAAAAAAGACCAAAGAATATTTCTAGAGTCAATTCAAAGAGAGAAATGTTGAACTCAAGGCAGAGATTATAAATGAATTTTATAAACCATTAGGTGAAGTAAGTGAGGAATAGTTTAGTTATTTGTCAGATAAGATATCAATCAATGAGCGGTCTATTGCTTTAAATAAAGCTAGTAACAAAACAGCACCTGGGATAACAAGAATAGAATATACACTTATTCAAAATATAAGCAGTAAAGTGCAAGAGGTTTTCGTAAAGCTCACAAGCTTGTGCTAAAATAATAGCATAATTCTACAAAAATAGAAGCTGGTACAAATATATTTAATTTCAAAAAACAAAAACTAGTGATATTAGCTAAAGAATATTAGACCAATTGCATTACTAGAAACCTTTAGAAAATGTCTAACACATGTAGTTATATAGCGAGTCACAAGTATATTAGTAGAAAAAGAAGTGCTCAAAGGCTCAAACTTTGCCAGGCTGTCTGGCTGCTCATCAGATAGTGCAATTAACTTAGTTGATATGGTTATAGAAGATGCCAAAAAAAGTAAAAAAGAGCTATGGGTAATGCTACAAGATATGAAAAGACCTATGACTCAGTATCAATTAAAACACTCAAGCTTGTACTTACAAGAATAAAGCTACTCATTTAAGTCATTGATTTTATCACAGAGCTATTTAACAAAAAGTGGATCAAAATAATTACAGTATTTGGGTTAACAGAAGAGTTTAAGGCAGGAGATAGTATAGAGCAGAGAGTGACAATCTTCTCGCTAATATAAAGAATTTTTTATGATCCACACTATGCAGAATCCAAGATGATCCTGAGTTAGAATACAAGATAGAAGGGAGAAGCTACTAGACATAAAAGAAAACAAAGTTAGGAAGGTGGTAATAAGACAAGCAGCAGTTGCTTTTGCCGATGACATGATATGATTAGAAGCAAATAAAAAGCAAATAGAGAAAATACTTAAAATCACTCAATGTTTTTTCAAGTTTAATGATATACAGATAAATAGTTAAAAGTCAAAGCTACTAGTACTGAACTTTTAGTTGAATGAAAAGGAGAAAAGTATTAGAATTGACGTGTGCCTACTTGAAGTAGTTGGCAAAGATAATTTAACAAGACTTCTTGGGGTCTGGCTAAGTACAAAAGTCAATGAGAAATTGATAGTAAAGAAAGTCAAAAGCATAGTAAGGCACTTTACTAGAACAATACAAGCCAAAAGCCTTTTAATTAGTCAGCTTATATACATAAACAATATGTGTATCATACCAAAACTCATATATATATTGCAGACAACCAAGGTTTTGCATATTAGCCTTACAAGAATCTATTAGCCAATAGTGAAGTTAATTAAGCATAAAATTGGACTTCTAGCCACAGCAGGTAATTATCTAATATTACACCCGGGAATAGGAAGATGCAAGATGTTGCATTACAAAGTTTTCTCCTGACAACTTGTTGGACTTTAGGCACGATTAAATAGTAAAGATCAAGTTGAAAATATTACCAGACTCCATATAGCAGAAGGTTTTTTATTGGCAGAGTTAGTGACCAAAAAATGGTAGCTAGAAGATATAGAAATATCTGAAAACACAATCTGGCAGGCCTAGTTATAGCAAAAGCAAGTAAACAGGGAATAATGTTACAAAGAAATGATGAACCATAGCAAGTACATAGATATGGATTAACAATACATGAAGTACTAGATAGAAAGACATTTTTAAAATACTGTAGTGAGATTAAAAAGTATAATATCTACTACATCAGACAGCTACTTAATCAAGAAGATTGCAAGTTAATTATATGGAGAAAACTTAAACTGCTAAGAGCCAGATCACAGAAAGGTCTAAGTCCAAATGGTTTGAGAAAATTGAAGCAAAGATACTTCAAAATAATGAAAATAGAATAGTTAGAGCTGAATTTTAAACACAAGGTATAAACAGTATGTCAATGAAAATGCATTTAGAGTAGTTATCCGAGGATAAAAGAAAACGTGAATAGGTGCTTGTTAATAAGAAAAATGATGAGACAATAGTTGGTAAAATCAGCAAGAAGCAAAAGATCAAAGTTTTAATTGATTATTGGGTTAATCAGAATAGATCAGAAAATGCTTTAACCTTAGTCGAATGTAGAAGTTGTAAGCTAAACTGCCAAGTGAGTAGTAATGTTTGTCAGCAGTGAATAAAGAAAAAGAGAGTACTAGGGGTCCTACCTCATAGTAATCAAGACAAAGCTACGATGAAACCACTGGTATTAGAAGAAGTAGTAGAATACAAAGAAATACCAAGAAAATAATAGTAAGTAGCACAGAAGAAGAAGTTGCAAGTATAGTAATTCCTAAAATGTATGAAGAAAGCTTAATCAAACAACAAGGTTTCGATACAGTACTAGAAAACAAATTGATTGAACAACTAGAAACATACTTTAAAGTAGAATCTAAAGAATACCTTTTTTATACAGATGGTTTAGTGATTAAAGGATTAACAGAATACAAAATAGGTGCAGGATGGCTATGAGTAAGCTATGATGAGGAGAATATACTGGTAGAAGGGTATATTAGGATAAGATATTGGCTATTATCAACAAAAGCAGAGTTGGTAGCAGTGTGAATGGCACTACTAACAGTAGATAGTAATAGTAAGGTAGAAATTAGACTAGATAGTACAGCTGCAATTGCAAGCCTAACAGACAATTTACTGCTCAAAATAAACAAAGCATAGGGGCGAAGGCCAAATGCAAGTCTAGTAATGAAAATAAGAGATTTGTGCAAGTTCAAAGGTATAAACCTCAAACTAACTAAGGTGAAGGTTCATAGTAATATAAGATGGAACGAAAAGGTGGACAAGCTTGCAAAACGAGGAGCTGAAGCAAGCAAGATATCAAAGCTAGGACTCGAGAAAAATTGTTATTTCAAGTATACTCTATACTTAAATAGAATATATGCAGAAATACTAACAAGAAAGGTTATTAAGATTATTTTTTTTTTATTTTTATTTTTTTTTTTATTTTTTTAGACAGTCTTGTCGAAGCTTAAATATAAAATTATCTTATTATAGTAAAAGAAAAGCTACTCTAATAAAAACTCTAATTTTAAAATTGCAAGCCCAACATCATCTGGCTACTATATTAAGTGCCCAGATATGATCTGTTGTACTGGTTCTT